TAAAGTGTATAGATAATGTTCTGATAAGACAGTTGTTTCTTCTCTCTAAAAGGCAGCATCATGTGAAGTTCACCTTCTCTCTCTCTCTTCCTGTAACATGTATATGGAGCACCTAAAAGTCAGAAGGCATTATGCCGCAATGCTTTATCAGTACAGAGGTAACATCTGCTCTCTCACTTGAACAGATGCGTGATGGAATCAAGCATGAATGCAAGTTACCCATTTGAAGGCTATTACTGGGCTTAAAAAAGTAAACTGGGTTTATATTACACATATTATAGGAGAAGATATCCACATATCTGTTACACTTAATTATTATTAGAAGGTAAAGCAGAGTAGCCTACCTGGTTCAGGGATTATTATTATAAATAGCAACTACCGAGTATTTGTAACAAGTAATACTAAGAACTTTTCTTTCCTATTTGTCTGGCAAAGAGATTACAAGATTGCAAAAGATTATCAGGAGCATATGAAACAAATACTTCCATAACTGGATAAGTGTTTCAAGTAGGGGTGCAACATTAAAGATTTTCTTGGCTAATACTGATAGCTACTGATTAACCAGCCATATTGGCCAATACCAATCTGATAATCGATTTACAGGAATGCAGCTGGGCAGCATGGAGAACAGCTCCCTGCAGGTAAGTCTGTGGAGGGGAAGGGACATGGGAAAGGAAAAGGGCATGGGGGGCAGATTGAGGCCCCCATGGTGAGGAAGGGTGTGTCGCAGGGACAGCAAATGGGACCTGGGGCCAGGGCAAGGAGCAGGACAGAGCCATGGGTGGCTTGTCCAGGCAATAAGCATCCCGGTGCCTAAAAATGGTGATGGGGGCACTTGAACTAAAATTCATTGGATGAGCTCTTTTAACCAGAGCAGAGCTGACTGGGGGCAAGGGCAAATGTGGGCTGCCCACTGCAGGCTTGGGGCTCTCCACCCTGCTGCCTTTGCCCCCAGGGGCCCCACACCCCATTTGCCCAGCAGCAGAGGGAGGTGGGAGGGGGCAGAACTCACCACCCCAACTGCTGCCAGGCAGGCAGGGGGTGCATGGCTGGTGCAGGGCTCCTGAGGGAAAGGCAGCAGACTGGAGAGCCCTGAGCCCACAGCGAAGCAGCCCACATCTGCCCTGCCCATAAATCTGGTGGGCACATGCCCCCCCAATGCCTCCCCCGGGGGGGTGCACACAGCAGTGGGGAGCCGCCCCCCTATGCCCCCTGGACGAGCCACCCATGGCTCCGTTCTGCTCCCTGCTCCAACCATAGGTCCCAATCACTGCCCTGGCTGGGTAGTGACCCCACCCCAGCCTCACTCCCTCCTTCACTGTGGGGGCCTCAACTGCCCCCAACACCCCTCCCCTTCACAGACTTACCTGCAGGGCACTGCTTTCCATGCTGCCCAGCTGCATTCCTAGTCACATGCATGCACATGGCTGCACAGATGCACACAGCATCCAGAGGCCCCAACCAGAAGGCATATCATACTTATCAGTGAACATTATCAGCTAAACCAGCCAAAAAAGGCCAATAGCCAATACTGTTAATTTCCTTTTATTGGTGCCGATCCAATATGCAATTGATATATCGGCATACCTCTAATTTCAAGATACATTTCTTTTAAAAAGCAACACTTCTGAGCTTCTAAGCTTTAAAAGTTTGGACTTTGTCTGCTTGAGAGACTACAACTTTCCCTGGGCTACAGATGTGACCGGAGACACAGAACTGGAACTCCCTAGTTTGAGAGATGAGCTGGCAATGTGATGTTCTCCAGTCTCATAACTGGAACCCACTCTATACTTTGGCCAAGAAGTCTGTTACATTCAAGTTCCATTGCAAAATTTGTCTATTTACTCAGGGGGGCTAGAGATTGAATGGCTCATGTTAGCGTAGGTTTAGAAAAACCTTGCTTAGTGGGCAATTCATTATTTTGACACCATATACATCACCTTATATTTGTGATGGTGCCATGGCACCCTGTGGCGCCTTGAGATCCTTTCCAGGGTGCCGTGGTGTACCACACTGACTTAGCACCATTAGGTGTACAAACCTGATTCACAAGAAACCCAAACTTTCAAATAGGAATCCAAAGAGTTAAAAAAAAAAAATCTGACTTGATGTCATCTTCCCAAGTTCTTGGCAGCAAAAGAATTATTCTATTACCGTATTTACTCAAATGCAAGATGAGCCCCGCCCCTCAATTAATATGGGGGGAAAGACCCTCATCTTATAGCCATATACAAGGAAGCTTTATGAAATAAACAGTCTAAAGCAGCATGTGCTCAGTAATGTAGGGGTGCACCTATAAAGATTTTCTTGGCCAATACTGATAATGGATTATTAAACCAGCCATATTGGCCCATACCGATCCAACAGCCAATTTACAGAAAGCAGCCCAGCAGATTGGAAAGCAGCATCTTGCTGATAAGTCTGCTGGGGGAGGGGGGGGTAGGCCCCAACAGTGGGGGAGGGAGCAGGGCAGGGGCTGCCCAGCCAAGTCAATGAATAGGACCCCAGGGCTGGGACAGAGCTGCTGCATAAACCCCTGGGGGAGGCACGTGCCCTCCCCTCCCTGGACTTGTGCACAGGGTGAGGGCGGACTGGCTGCTGTGGGCTCAGGGTCAGAGCCTGCACCCGCCTCTTCCGGCCAGGGGGTGGGGCTCGACCAGGCTCAGGGGCGGGGTAGGGATGAGGCAGGCTCAGCTGCATAGGGCAGGCAACGGCAGCTTCAGGAGGGGTGGCTACAGGGGGGGTTACAGGAAGTTTTGGAATGGCTATAGACCCCCAAGCTCCCCCTGCCCTACCTCAAGAACCGCCCTGCTTGGTGCAACAGGACTCTCAAGGGAAAGGCAGCAGAGCAGAGTACCCTGAGCAGGGGCAAAGCTAGGGGGAGGTTGGGGGGGGCTATAGCCCACCCCTCAACAATTCCCTGTAGCCCTCCCATAGCCACCTTTCCCAGCACCACTGCCACCGCTTCCCACCCTGTACAGCTGAGTCTGCCCCATCCCAGCCCTTCCCTGCCTGCTACGAGCTCAGCCCTGGCCCAGAACCACACACCCCTCCCCCACCCCCAGAAAAGGCTAGTGCAGCCCCTGGCCCCAAGCCCTCAGTGGGAAGCCCGCTATAGCACCACACATAAACTGAGGAGGGGTGGGAAGAAGAGAAGCACATGCCCCCTACGCAACCCCCAAAGGTGCACACAGTTGCAGGGAGCTACCCTTACTCTCCAGCTCTTTAATCAAGTTAGTTCACACTTTGCAGAATAATTTAAGAGTCACAACAAGGCAAGAAAAAAATTGTTTTCCAAAGTTCCTTTGTACATAATAGCATATATAGTGCTTTACATGCATGAACATAAAGTTGCTGTGAACATCTTAAGCATTAGCTGTAGCACAAAAAAAAGAGAACCTATTGATGTCCTCTGGGTTATTTTCCAGATCTAAGCAGAAGAAGGGAGTAAAAAGTGAAAAAAAATGCATGCTGGTCACCAGACCCTTTACTCAACTATGAATTTAAGTAAGATATGTCTTTGAAATACAATAAAAAATAGTTTCCTGCCTTACAAACAAAAAGCTCAATTTCTGCTGCTAGAATTATTTATATTAAGTTTGTATTAAACATTGTGTGTTTTTAGATAGTGTGGAAGCCTAGAGCTTTGAAAGAATGCTGTAGGAAAAGGAAATAAAAATAACCTTTGTATAGTATATATCTCCTTTATCAAAGTACTTAAAATCCTTCTCTCTGTATACTTTTCTGCACCCTAATACTAAAAAGTTTAAACAAAATATTTTTTTTTGTTTATAGTTGAAAGACTTAAAGCATATGCAGAATCCTGAAATACTTCTACTTTAAATGACCAAAAGAACAAGTTGAAATCTATTCCATTTCAGGTAAGTCAAGCTTAAAGTTGGTACAAATATGCAAACATTTGTACAACTGTCTCAAACCAAGCAAAACAAAGCATACATCACTAAATACTGCAGTCAATATTTAATTTTTTTTTTAACTTAAATTGCGCAAGATTTACAAATCACTTCAATTATTTTATCTGATATCTTGCCTGTGACAGTGGCACTACACATGAGCATCCAACAAGGAGGTTAAAAAGTCTCAGGATTTTAAACCAACCACAAATCTCTACGAATCAAATGTGGAAGGTTTTGCTGACCCATAGGGGTTGGCTTGATTACAGTGGGGTTAAGTTAAGCTTGCTTAAAACCAGATTGTTTTTTTTCAACTGCAATTAATAAAAAAATCATTTAATATGCAAATGTACATTTACAGGGCACTCTGCAAACAGATTAGCTTACTAGTGCTGAAGCTATGGCCCACTGGCCAGATCTGGCCCATGGAGCCATGTCATCCAGCCCACAGGGTTTCTCATGAATCTAGAAATTTGGCAGTGGGGGAGTGCTGGCAGTGGAGGTGATGGCAGCATTAATTGCCACAGCTTGGGCCAGTGTGTTCCCCCACTGCCAAATTTCCAGACCTGTGGGATGACACAGCCCCACCCACTAGCACACTGGGTCAAGTCAGCACATGGTGTTTCTCCATGGTCAAATCGCACCCCAGGACTGACCTGTGCACTGACCCCACACATGGAATCCAGCCCACAGACTAGCTCAAGAGTTGAGCACCAGTGGATTAGTGCAATCCAGAGTTAGGCAAATCATAAAAGATCAGTTGAGCACATTTGATGCAACTGACCAAATCAACATAAGCATAGAAGCTGAAATGAAGAAGGGAAGAGCATGATGTCAGAGGTGGAAAGGGAAGATGATTAATAATAATAATAATAATATTTGAAATTAACTAGGAAGAAGAATCAGAAAAATCAAGTAGAGAGAGGCTAAAGAAGATACAAGTTGTTTAGCGGGTGACTGTGCCTGAAAGCCTGCGAAGAACTTTTTTCCAACTGCACAGTTGGTCTAATAAAAGATATGATATCTACCCAAAGAACTTTGCCTCCCACAAGTTGTTTAGGACATTTTAATGTTACGTTAACTTACGTTCCATGCAATAGTGGATCAAAAGGTGGATGCTGAGCTCCATACACATGTTGGATGCTAAAAAGAAAAAGAAAAAGAGAAGAAAAGTCATCACAAATCTGATACATTTCTAAAAATATACAAATACAAGTTATTCTTGAGAAGCTGCTCAGTAGTAAAGGGAAGTCAAAAAATATTTCAACTGCTTACATTTCAAAGAGGCACATATAAGAAAGCTGTTACCAGATGTACAAAAAACTAGAACTCTTGGTTTCAAATGAAAGCTGTTAACAGATGTACACCCAACTTAAACAATTAGCAAAAGCTGTAACATACTACAAGGTAATTTCATGGAAATAAAAGCTGCTTAGATAGGAATCTTGTATTAGCAAACTAAGCACGCTTTTTAAAGGAAAAAGTGTGCGCGCACAGAGTCAGGTGTCTCCCTGTGCATTAACGCACTTAGTTAATGTGCATTAAAATCTAGTACTCTATTCTGAGGTACTAGGAAAATGCACATTAGCCTGCCTTAATGCACATTAAGCATCACTTAAAACTGTGCTCTTTAGTTAATGCGCATTAGCCTATTTTAATACACATTAACTAAATAGCAAGGGTTGTTTAGCGATATTCTAACACTCATTAAAATAGGCTAATGCACATTAGAGCGCGTGTGTAGACATTAATAAATAAAAAAGGTCCTTCCTTTTTCTGATTCACCACTTCTTGAGGGGGGAGGTGGGGAAGGAGATGAAGACACTCCAAAAAGATGCCTGTTAAAAAAATTAACCTTATTTTCCTCTAGCCAAGGGTGCTATCATATTGGACTTAGTGACCTGAGGAATACTTTATGCTGGAAAGCTCATCTAAAGTCTCTCCCAAACCTTCCGTTGATCTAATAAAAAGATATCAGCCCTAATAAACATCTTTGCCTCCCACATGTTTCCTGGAGCATCATAGCTACAATATCATTCCAACAAAGCCTCAGCAGTCATAGTAGATGAGGTCAGTCAGTCAGAGACAAAAGACGCAGTATACATAACATGTCATATTAGGGAATAAGAACAATGACAGTATGCAAGCAACAACACGTTGAAATAACAGGCTTATAAGTAAAACAGAAAAAAAAACAAAAACAAAAAACACACATTACCATGTAGGTGAAATATTAATAACTATCCTTCTCAAAATAAAAGTTTGCTTCCAACTTCAAGAAGGCCTTTGACAAGGTGTCCCATACCATCCTTATAAATAAACTGAGGGGATTTGCCTTGGATGACTACACAGTAGACTGGGTAGCAAATTGGCTCAAGGGTTGCACACAGAGTGGTGGTGGACGGGTCAGTGTCAACCTGGAAAGATGTGGGCAGTGGAGTCCCTCAGGGCTCAGTTCTGGGGCCAGTGCTGTTCAACATCTTCATCAGTGATCCGGATGAGGGGGTGGGAAGCACCCTGTCCAAATTCGCGGACACAAAATTATGGGGTGCAGCTAACACCCTGGAGAGGAGGAACCAGATCCAGGCTGACCTAGACAGGCTGGGGAAGTGGGCAGAGAACAACAGGATGCAATTCAATAAGGACAAGTGCAAGGTGCTGTATCTAGGGAGGAAGAATTGCCATCATAGCTACAGGCTGGGGGCCAACCTTCTCAGCTCCACTGAGGCAGAAAAGATCTTGGAGTTGCTGTTGACTCCAGGATGAACATGAGTTGCCAGTGCGATGAAGCAGTTGGCAGAGCCAATCGCACCTTGTCATGCATCCATAGGTACTTCACAAACAGGTCCAGGGAAGTGATTCTCCCCCTCTACGCAGCACTGGTCAGACCACAGCTGCAGTACTGTGTCCAGTTCTGGATGCTGCAGTTCAAGCAGGATGCGGACAACCTGGAGAGGGTCCAAAGAAGAGCCACTCGCCTGGTTAGAGGCCTGCAGGGAAGGCCCTACAAGGAAAGGCTAAGGGAAGGCCCTCCAAGGGAAGGCTGAGAGGGGACCTTGTGGCAGCATACAAATTCACAAGGGGAGAGCAACAAGAAGTAGGCGACTATCTTTTCACCAGGGCACTCCCTGGAATGACAAGGAACAATGGCCATAACTTTCTAGAAAGAAGGTTTAGGCTGGACATTGGGAAAAAGTTCTTCATGGTCAGGGTTGCCAGAATCTGCAATAGGCTCCCAAGGGAGGTGGTGCTCACCCCATCCTTGGGGGTCTTCAAGAGGAGACTGGACAGGCACCTGGCTGGGATCACATGACACCAGGGTTGGTGACTCTTTTCTTGCCTGCCAGGAGCAGGGGGGGTCGGACTAGATGGCCCACAGAGATCCCTACCGACTCTATGAAACTTTCAGCTACAGAAACACTTGCTAGAATAAGACTTCAGGGAGAGTAGGGGAAGAGAGAAGAGATGTGGTCTATAATGGATATACTTATACAAACGTTCCTATTAGTAAGCTCATGCCATAGATATACCACTACATGTTCCCTACTGGGTACAGAAATAGCAATATACTCGTTTAAAAAAAAGTACGGGTCTCATTGCAAAGTTCATAGCTTACAACTGATGTTTAATGACTTAATGAAATCTGACATAGTATAAGGTCTTCCTGTTACTCAGCGTCTTACACAACACAGCTGAAGTAGACTGAAGTACAAAAATAGCTACAATTATTTCTCTCCAGCAAAACAGAGCAAGTGAAAATAAAGCATGTGTCATTCTTACCCAAAAGCTGCAGCCACCCCAGAAGACCTACCCTCTCCCTCCTCTTCCTCAATATCTAAAATGACATCATCTGGCAATGCCTCACACCCTGCTTTCAACAACGATGCTTTTCACCTGTCTGCTTTTCTATATACAAAGTATACACACCTACATAAAAGACCACCACCTAATCAAAACCAGGTGAAGCAAATACTTCAGTGTTGCTTGGGTTTAGTGGTTGGAAAGAGAAAATACTTCCAAAACCTTCATTCACGGGATGCCTAAGGTCCCAACTGAGCAGTCATCATTCTTGGGAAGGCAAGGCAGTGTCGGTAGTAAGAAACACCCTCAAGTACTTTCTGCTTACTAAGAATAAGTTCCCCATTCCACCGCTCCAAAACAGGGACAGGAAAAGTCCAGGTCACAGGCCTGGTGAGGCCTGTAGTAAACTATTTCCCAGCAACCTCTGCCCATGTCACTGTTACTAATTTCCGTGGAGACCCCTGCAGCAGCAGGGCTGTGACAGCACCGGGGCCAGGGTTTCCATGGAGACTGTCCCCAGCGGCGCTGGCAGGGTACACGTCTCAGCTGAGTGGGGAGCTGCTCCGGGGTCAGGGCTGGGATCTTGCAGCAGTGACAGCGTGGTCTGGAGCCAGAGCAAAACTGCGATCCACTGGCTGCCCGCATGCCCCGGGCAGGGGTGTGCAGGCAGCGGATCACGGCTCTGCCCCAACTCCAGACCAGGCTGTCACCACTGCAAGATCCCAGCCCTGGCTCCGGAGCAGCTCCCCGCACAGCCACATGCCCTGCCAGTGCTGCTAGGGCTGATCTCCATGGAAACCCTGGTCCCAAGCTGTCATGACCCCACTGCTATTGCAAGCGGGCTGCAGCAGTGTAGGCAGGGGCTGCTGGGAAATGGAGTCAAACAATGAGCCAGATCCACCATTTTGCCCACACCTGCTCCAAAGTATCATCACTAATTTGTGCAATTGCCCCCTTCAGACTAATAAACACTGTGTTATTAATTCCCTGCTGGGCTGGTCATGGAGGGAGACCGCTCCCTAATCAGAGCATCCTGCCAGGGTCTGGCCATGCCCTCCTCAGCTCAGCACCGTCCAAAGGATGGGAGAGCTGCTCTAGTGCCCCCAAGCTTCTAGCCTGAGCCACTGCAACCATGTGCCCGCATGTCTGTACATTTACAAAATGATCCAGGATAGCCAAGTTTAAAAAGCAACGTAAAACAAACTCCAGCTTGGGCAAAGTGCACCAGCCTGCTGTCACAGCCTGGGAGACCCAAGAATTGCAGCACATGACAACTCCTTAAACCTGGGAAACTTTATCCTCAGCTCCATTCCAGGGTCATTTCTTCCAGGGACAACTGTTCATTGCACAAGCCTGTCCCCAGGCAGTTACCTCCAGGCTTTTGCCTCAAGGTTCTCTATATCAGGGCAACTCTAGTCCTGCACGCGCAGTCAGATGGATGAACCATCATACGTGCAATCATCTTTACATCTTCCAGCAGCGTCCAGACTAAAGTTTAAAGCCACTAGGCAAATCAAAAACAAGCAACATCAGTCGCTGCACCTCCAACAAGTCCCTCAAAACTGCACATCGCTTAAGACAATGAAGTCTCAGTTTATGACATCAAAATAAAACACTCAGAGGCAAGAGAAGCTCTCTCACTTTGAATGTGACAGTGTGATATGAAGAGCCAACAGGAAGGACCATGAGAAAAGGTCAAACAACTATATAAGAGGCTGTAGAAACTAACAAATATCAGCAACTCAATTTGAAGAATTTCTCCGACATCACTAGTTCCCACAGGCTGTGAAGACCAGTTGTTCAGCAGACAAAAACTGTAATACCAAGGGGCCAGACTGTCCATGCCCCGAGAAGAACTGCTACTTTATCAGCTTAGGGGAGGAAATCTATCTGTCCCACTCACTGTCCCATGGTATTACTGTTTGGAGAGCACTTCAAGACAACTACTTATTTTTATAGCAAGTTAAGGTTTTAGGCAATACAGACTTCATTCTAATTTATAAGAAAATGTGTACCCAGTAGAAATATTTTTCTATTAAGTTTCTTCACTTTTCAAAGAAAAGATCATGGTTGGCAGCATTTGTGTTCCACTTATTTCACTCATGAAATCAACAACCCTTTTTCTCTGCCTTTTAACTGCTAGCTGGCTGTCTCCTTCACTGCCTGCCTGGCTGCCTAGACAATAGCCAGGGGGACTATCAAGGTTGGACTAAAAAAGCCTTTGACTTATTGAAGATACAAGGAGCTTCCTCAAAAAGGAAACTTACAAGCCAACCTAACAGAGTAATTGAGCAGGACTTCCCAAACTAGGAATTTTTAGCTCCCAGGATGACAGAAATAAGCAATTAAGTTTATTTAGGGACAGATCTTCTATTTCTCAAACTGTAGTATAGACACACCGTGAGATTTCTGTGGCATAACAAGCAATAAAGTTCATGGAAAGGCAGAGCTCATGGAAATTCCCCTACAACTCTCACTCATGCAACCAATCTAGAGGCAGGGTTGGGACTGGCTTCCGACAACTCTACCCAACATGGGTACAAGAGTACTATGCCCTAATAACCCTCACCCATGGAAAATGGCATACGGGCAGCAAAGGGATGGACCAGACAACGCATACAGTATAATAGTGACAAAGTATTTTCTATTACAGCAATCACTCAGGAGACCATTATAAACATTTTGAAATCAGCAAGCCCCAGTAATTTGCATCCAGAAATTAGACATGAGCTGGAGAACTGGAGTCTGTTACACGCAGGACATCCAGGAAAGGATCGTGCTCACCCTCCTGGTTTTATAATTCTATGAATTATAATGCACAACTTTCCAGCTAATCTCATATCCTGTATTTACATGTTACTCTTCAGTCAATTCCTTACACATTGCGGCACACCAAAAAGCAAGATTCACCAACCTATTCAAAACAATGTCTAGAGCCACTTCCTGCATTTACACAGTTATTTTGCAATGCTATCCTTTGTACAGACAGTGAATTATTCTCCTCCCTCTGGCAGGTATTCCTCCACCCCCATCAACACTCAACGTCAGCTGCCACCACATTGCCCGTTTGCTTAACCGGCTGGGTTCCTTCAATGTTCCCCCATCTTCTCGGTCATCTGCAAATGAACATGATGCTGAAGACTCAACGCTCAGGCACACAGCAGGGCTGTGCAAGCACGGCCGTGCCACCATGTCATTCAGCCCAAGGGCTCCCGCAGGTCTGCAAATTTGGCGGTGGAGGAATGAATTCCTATTAACACTACCACTGCTCCTTCACGGCCAAGTTCCCAAGTCCCATACGTGGGCCTGGGGGCACACAGACCGGGTACATCCAGCCCATGGAGGATCCAGCACTGCGAGGGGAACGGCTCCTGCCCTCCTGCAGCTGGAGAAGCCG